AAAAAAAAAAAAAAAAAAGAAATGCAAATCAAAACAAGGCTTGGGGAAAGGATACTACTTGCATTTTCTGGGGGTGTGTAAATTCATATAACCTGGGCAGTTGTGTGATAACTTTCAAATTTTAAATCTTAAATTTAAAATCTCTCCATTTTAAAATGTACGTAAACACGTTTACCCAATAAGTTTACTTCTAGATATTTATCCTATGAAACTGTATAAACAAGTATACACGGGTATTCACTCGCAGGATATACTCTAGAGAAAGTGGAGCCTTTGTATGTCTGCATCGGGAGGAAGTTAGATAAATTAGTATCAGTGACTCCAACATGGAATGTGACTTAGCCTTGGAAAGGGGAGCTAGATCTGTGTACAGACATAGAAATATTCTCAAGGTGTGTGTAAAAAAATACATATGCATACATATTATATGATATTATATTCAAGGGAAGCTTCTAGAACAGGGATGAAACAGATAATGTAAAAAAGTAGTAGGCTGTGTGTGAGTAATAGAGAGTGCTGGGGAGTGTGGCAAAGTGGAGAAATCACACATGACTCATCCAGAAGTGCAGCTGCTCTTTGGATCCAGCCAGTTAGATATTTGGTTTTTCAAAGAAGCCGAAACGTGTGAAATTTCCCAAATTTTGAAACTTTGTTGGCCAAACAAAATACATCTATGAGCCTGACTGAGTCCATAAGCTGCTTCTAGCTTATTCTCAGAGAATGTTTACCAAATAGTTAATCTGGAGCTGAGGAGTGGGGAACATCAGAAGTCAGGGAACCAACTTTCCCCTTATGAATTGTAGATTGGGGTGATGTTTGAATTTTTTGGCATTAAGCAAAGTTTTGTGGACTTTTTTTCTTAATGCATCTAAAACAATGTTTCTACCGAATTCTTTAAACATTGAAATAAACCGATCACCTCTCAAACCTTAATAAAAATATCTTGAGATCGTCCCACTTTGTCCTGACTTTATCTTACTTCCCATCTTAGAGGAAGTCACTAAGAAAATGTGAAAACTGGAAAACACCCTGTGGCTTCGGGGCCACATGTGGCCTTCCGGATCCTTGAGTGTGGGCTTTTTACTGAATCCAAATTTCACGGAACAAATCCTTCAAACAAAGGGATTTGTTCTGTGAAGTTTGGATTCGGTCAAGGGGCCGCACTCAGGGATCCAGAGAGACACATGTGGCCTTGAGGCCACAGGTCCCCACCCCTGGCTGATACGACCTTATTTCATAGCTGGTTAAAGTAAAGGTGCATGTGGGAAAGAGGCACGGCCATGGTTCTACCACAGGGTCAGGACAGTCCTGGGACAAAATGTGTTTTGACCCTACCCTGGTGGTCTTCTCCCTGAGGACTTAGTGTTTGGTGTCCTGCCCTCACAAACGATGTCCCAGTAACCCACGCACTGCGTGTGAAGCATAGAAAACGGAAGCCCCGCAGTGTGGGCGGCTTCAGGGCTCATGTTTTGTTTGTGCCATTGTATCTTTCCAGGTTCTGGGCCTTTGCTTATGTCATTCCCTCTGCCTGAAATACCTTTCCCACCTTTATCTGGCCGACACCAACTCAACCTTAACACTTAAGGTCCATGGCAGTCTACACAGAAAGGGGCTAGCTTCTTCTAGGGACACTCCCCTCCCCTCTGTATTTCAGCAGCCATTCTGGTTTTTGTTTGTTTGTTTGAGACAGGGTCTTGCTCTGTGTCACCCAGGCTAGAGTGCCGTGGCGTCATCATAGTTCACTGCAACCTCAAACTCCTGGGTTCAAGCCATCCTCCTGCCTCAGCCTCCCAAGTAGCTGGGACTACAGGCACGTGCCACCACGTCCAGCTAATTTTTCTATTTTTCTATATAGACAGGGTCTCACTATGTTGCTCAGTCTTGTCTTGAACTCCTGACCTCAAGCAATCCTCCCGTCTCGGCCTCCCAAAGTGCTATTACAGGCATGAGCCACCGCATCCAGCGCCATTCTGTTTTTGAATGAGCCATGTTTCCTCTCGGCTCAGAGCCCTCGCATGAGTTGTTCCTTCTGCCTGGAACTGACTTAATTCTTATACAGATGTCAGGGCTGAGCTTAAAGGCATTTTCTCAAAAAGCCCTTTGACACCGCACGTGCCCTCTTCTCCTAGACTAGGTCACACCTCCGTAATGAAGTGATTGCTGGAGGAACAAATTTAAGGTCTGCCCCTGTCACTGCCCCACAGGCACCCCTCCTGTTCACCACTGGATCCCAGTGCCTAGAATGGCGTTGACACAAAAGTGCTCGTTATTTGCTGAGTGGGAGCAACTGCTCAAATTTCACCTCCACCCAAGAAGCTGACCCCGCAACCAAATAACTCTTCCCTCTTTTGTCCTCCTAGCCCTTTGTTCAAAGATGTTCACCCTCCCCTTAGCATTTCCATGGCCCTGCAGTCATTCGATCTTGCCATGGCCGAGCTTTGCTGACCGCCCTGTGCCCTCAGGCCAGGCATGGCGTCCTCTTCGTGCCCAGCACACGGAGGCCTCCCCCGCGCAGAAATGAAGGGAGCTCCAAGCTCAGAGACAGGCCTTGCCTCCCAGTCTACCACCCGACAGCCCTAGGCTGTGGGCAAACCATCTACTCTCCTTCTCGCTTAATATCCCTCATCTGTATAAAGAGGCTACAATACTACCTAGTGATCACTGGGTTACTGTGAGGATTCTGCAGTACTCCACAGAAAGGGCCTGGAGTGGAGTAATCGGGCTCAGTAAGCGACGGCTTTTATTAATGCAGAGACTAATAAACAGGTGGCGAGTGGCTGGTGAGATCTGCGGTGTGCCTGGTCTCTGCCTGACTCAGCTGTTCCTCCGGATCATTCCTGCCGCTTTGCCAGCTAAGCAGGCAGAACCCTGCTTCCTTTTCTCTTTTACACTTATTAGCCTGCTTTTCTGGGCTCGGTCTGCACACTGGGCATCCGTGCTCCAGGGGCCGGCAGTTCTCAGACCTGCCTGTGGGCCAGGATCTCCGGGAAGCTTGTTAAAGATACTGGTGCCCGGGCGCCTCCTTCTGAGTCTGAATCTCCGGAGTGGAGGCCCAGGCATCTGTATTTAACAAGCTCCTGGGGGATTCCGGGTCTCAGCCGGGTTGGAGAGTCACTCGCTTGCCCAAGGCTGCAGACCAGCGCCCCCCACAGCAGTTTCTACACATGCCCTCATCCAGACATTTCCCAGACTCGTTTGTCCCTCGCAATCCTTGATTAAGGCAAAGCTTCCTCGCCCAGCTCATATGTCTCCTCTCTGCCCGATAATAGTTGGGCATAAAATAAAATTTATGCTCTGCGTGCTAGCTTTGAGAGCTGCCCGTTGTTTGGCATATGATTTAAGCATTTTCATATAGGAGCAGTAAAATTAGATGTCGATGCGGGTGAAAAACAAAGTAGCATCTCACCTGCATTTTCTAAGTTCATGGTTTAAAATCCCGGGGCTTTGGAGTCAGGCCCCTGAGTTTGAAACTTGGCTGCATAGAGCCCTAGGAACCACGCGACTATGGCAAGTTACGAGAGCCCTCGGTGCCTCGTTTTAAGTGAGGACCAGAATAAATAGAGAG